AGGAGAGATGAGAAGATGCTGTAGACAAAACAGAAGATCTAGCAATTACATTGCTCTGGGAACCTTCTGTTCCAGCTATTTTGTAGAGATGCTGCAGAGACTCACTAATACCACTACATAAATTTTATCTTACATTTAGCTGCCAGGATGTACATCTTCAGTCCAACATGAGAGAAGTTTTGCATTTCACTGACATAGTAGTTGTGTTGCAATTGTCTTTAATTACCTTCACATCATTTTTAATGTCATGAGGTGGAATCAAAGTTCATGGCCACAGGCATGTAGGAGGAGACATGAATCAGGTCATACCTCCTCTGCATGAGTGCTATACTCTTTCAAGGAAAAAATCAGATTAAATCATTCTTACTGTCATCAAGCATTAGAAATGAATTAAAATATAATACATGGATCACAAGGAAAGAGAGTCATGTACAAAACTGTTTAGTGTGGAGATCAAGGGAAGTCTACATTATCCTTCTGTTAAAAGGAAAATTTTTTTAGTGCATTGGGATTTACTTTTAAAGGCTCAAACTGTCACTGATGTTTGATCCATTTTGATCTTGGAATAGTTTGAGTATCTCAGAGATTGAGATCCAAGTCTACGTAGTTGTTTTACAGTTGATGAAATCTGATCCACAAATGACATTGTGATACTTACACTCTAATGTTATGTTGGAGGTATAATCCAGCTGGGTCTGTGTTATATTGTGTGAAGGAGCTTTATACCACAAGTGGCAAGCAAAAGCCTATTGGATTAAAAAATCCAAACAAAAGCTGTCTTCTGCAGGACTTAACAAGGCTAGTTTTAGTCAAACTTTTCCCATGGGATTAGTCTTCCCCCCTTACTGAGGAGACAGTGCTTATCTTAATAAGTCTGCACTGTAATGTGGTGGTGTCGCATGACAGTTTGTGTCAAAGGAGGAACGATGTTGGTTGTGTTTAGCTAATCTAGTGCAACCTACCATTTCAAATGGGATTATGTATCTTTTGACTGTTTGCATAACCCTAGACATGAGTCACATTTTAAGATACAGTTTTTAAATATCTGAAATTCAGAGGCTTTTGTAGAATGAGGTTAAATAAGACTCTTCTTCTGAGTCAGTTCTAGAGGAATCAAAAAAGTGCCACCACATTCCTGAGGTGAAGGTGCTGATCTTTTGAATGTGTCCAATACAGGATGTTATTCTGGGAGAAAGAAAAATAATGATCTTCACCACATTCAAAATTAAATTAAAGACTTTGGGTTTTCTCACAATAAGCTGTTCGCACTGACACCACTTCTTGCTTGTTCTAACTCTATGCACTTTCCAACATTACTAATTTTACTGGTGGTGAGATACAGAGGGTGCTGGCCTCAGCTTCAACACCTCTGGGGTGCTGAAATGCCATGGGGGCAGGTAGTATATAAATAAGCCAGTTGATTTGTATCAGAGCTATTGCTACCTTTAAGGACTGTACTGCTATCTCAGAATTGTATCATACTCCCGTATCGCCTCGTGCCTGCCTGGGAATGCCTTCTGCATGGAGAGGGACTCCTTGGTGGACTTCCTAAATCTGCACTAAGTCAGTGAAATAAATGCTAGTGGGATTTAGGATGAGGATTGGTCTATGGTGCTGCAGGGGACCAAGGTACAAAGGTTCAAGTCTAGTTGATGTTTTACAATTTAGAGCTGAGATAAATGCGAGTGATTTAGAACGTTCAGTGTTTATGATCTCTGGGTACAAATTACCATTTCTGCCAAGTTGAAAGGTAATGCTGTGAAATGAAATACCTCTTCCAATCAAAGGGATGTTCATGTGGCAGAAATAGAGGTCTTCCATTATTCTTCCTTGTGAGTAATGGCATTTTATATAGCATGTTTTTTATAAGATATTCTTCATATAACTGGAGGTGAGTAGGCAGGGGCAGATATGTTACAGTTAATAATTCAGTCACGTCTTGCATGCCCTAATGAATATTTTGCATGAGTGCCTGTTAATTTGATATAGCAGAGAAATGAAAACGTGGCTGAAACCTGAAAGCTGCTGAGATAGTCAGAAATGTTTCAGATATATATGAGACTTTATTTTTCCTTTGGGGTAGAGTATTATAACATTTTAACTGGTGAATAAGAGACTATAAGGATCAGTAATTTGTATATTAGTAGCTTGTATACAAACGAGCAAATTACTTTATTTTTACCTTAAGTATCTGATAGAATTTGCTGCTCTTGTTCGATTGGAAAAATGTTAACCTTGAGTTTCTGGAATGGATAGAGAACAGAAATCTGTTGTTGTAATGATGTACCTTATATGATACTTGAAATTCTAAGGGAACTGTTTAAGTTGGCAATTGCAGACAAATTATGCAATACTGCAGATCAAATCTAACTTAATATGGAATGAATGGGCTGAATATTATTACCTGAAAATTACTACTGAAATAGCAACTCAGCTGATGTGTGCACAGGCAATAAAGTAATCATAGTTGTCTTTTAGTCAGTGATGCACAAGTCCTAAAGATTTTAGTAAAAATAGATATGAAACATACTTTCAAAATGTTCCATGAAGTCTCACCTTCCCCTTGAGAACAAAATGCTACATGATTACCATTTGGATTAAAAGTCATGAAGAAAATCTGATAATTTTGTAATGCAGACTAGTAACTGTCAGCATCCTATCTCCTTTGTCTGGACTAATGTTTGCTCTACATTTCAAAATGTTTGCATGGACTTTCAGATTTTCTTGTAAATTTTTAATCCAATTTGAGATGCTGGGAGAGAGCACCTTTTTTCAAGCTTTCTGAAAATGAGGTCTGTTGAAAAACACCAAACTTCTTCACCTACTAAATATATATATATATTTAAAAAATTACTTTTCCTTCAACTGATATTTAGAAAGAATGTCTCTGTCCATTTGCTTTAAGAGATTTCATTGACTGCTAGGACCTGGAATTTTTCCATTTATCTAGTCCTCTTTTACCTAGGACTAAAAAAAAGTCAGAGAAACTTCAGCTGTGTATGCAGGAGTACTTCTTTTGACAAATTTTACAGATGCACAGCTGTACACATTAGGTAGCAGAGTTGAATAGTTTTGTGACTTCAAAATAATTAACTATTTGCATCTCTGTATTAATGTGGCATTCTTATTTATGTTGCATGGCAACTTGGCTGGAATTAGCTAAAATGTATGAGAGTTATGAACCTGTAAGAGCAACGAGGAGGAGGCCCACGAAAATGGCCAAAGGGCTGGAACATCTCTCCTATGAAGAAAGGCTGACAGAGTTGGGGTTGTTCAGCCTGAAGAAGAGAAGGCTCCAGGGAAACCTTATAGCAGCCTTCAGTACTTAAAGGGGGCCTGCAAGAAAGAGAGAAACCTTTTACCAAGAACTGTAGTGACAGGACAAGAGGTAACAGTTTTAAACCGAAAGACGGTAGATTTAGGTTGGATATAAGGAAGAAATTCTTTATTGTATGAATGCTGAGACACTGGAACAGGTTGCCCAGAGACGGTGTGGATGCCCTGTCCCTGGAAGTGTTCAAGGTCAGATTGGATGGGGCTTTGAGCAACCTGGTCTAGTGAAAGATGTCCCTGCCTGTGGCAGGGGAGTTGGACTAAGTGATCTTTGAAGGTCCCTTCCAACCTAAACCCTTCTATGAAAATGTGAACTGTAAAGATAGCTGAAATACATGTTAATTAATGCTGCTTGTTTGGGTTCTCTCCAAAGCAGGTTGCAAATACCATAATTAATTGGATTTAAAAATTAAATGCCTCTGTTGAGAAGCATAGTAGTACTTATGGCATGTCCAGGTGGCTGCCTAAGGCAGGTGATTGTTTAAATGTTGTGGGCTGTGAGACATCTGGATAAGCAAGACTACAGATTATTCAGATCTGGCTGAAAGCACGAGTAGTCCTTTCAGCTGTAACTTTTTGTCATTAATACTTCACAAAATTAGTAAGACATTTAAAGATGAGAAGTGGCGCTACAGATGTGTTATATTATCTTTTGGTCACAGTCCAGTGAGACTGATGTATATAGCCTGGTCCTTGGAGATATTTGTTCTGTATCACAAAACTATGAAATCTGACCAAATTCAGTGCAGCAGACAGCCTCATCCCTGTAGAGATGGCTTGTCATCAGTCACATGGACATTGGAGATCCAGACTGACACCAATTAGCACTTCTTGTCAGGATATGTATGTACCCCATGCTTGTGTGACTCTAGCAGCAGTAGCATTACTTAATTGAGTCTGACACTCTTTTACAAAGAGGGGTGTCGTGGTTTAACCCCAGCCAGCAACTAAGCACCACGCAGCTGCTCACTCACTCCCCCCCCATCCAGTGGGATGGGGGAGAAAATTGGGAAAAATAAGTAAAACTCCTGGGTTGAGATAAGAATGGTTTAATAGAACAGAAAAGAAGAAACTAATAATGATAATGATAACACTAATGAAATGACAACAGCAATAATAAAAGGATTGGATTGTACAAATGATGCGCAGTGCAATTGCTCACCACCGGCTGAACGACACCCAGCTATTCCCTGAGCGGCGATTCCCTGCCCCCACTTCCCAGTTCCTACACTAGATGGGACGTCCCATGGTATGGAATACCCCTTTGGCCAGTTTGGGTCAGGTGCCCTGGCTGTGTCCTGTGCCAACTTCTTGTGCCCCTCCAGCTTTCTCGCTGGCTGGGCATGAGAAGCTGAAAAATCCTTGACTTTAGTCTAAACATTACTGAGGAACAACTGAAAACATCAGTGTTATCAACATTCTTTGCATACTGAACTCAAAACATAGCACTGTACCAGCTACTAGGAAGACAATTAACTCTATCCCAGCTGAAACCAGGACAAGGGGCAAACCCCAATTCTTTAGGACAGTAACTTATTGATGCCAAGTTCAGAAACTTTTATTTTTGTCTTAGACAGTGACCTTTGAGAACAATATGTTATTTAGAATTGTATAACTCCCTTCCCTTTTTTTAACCAGTCTTGTATCTTTTTGTTGGTTTTTTTCAGACTGGAACAAACGGATTGAATACAAGCCCGGTTCTGGCAGCATACCTTTGTTTCCCAGCATTCGTCTAGAAACATGTGATGGACCAGTTTCCTCAATACATACCACCATTGAATTAAAGACCAATTACATTGGAAAGGGCTGTGATCGTGAAACATACTCAGAAAAATCTCTGCAGAAATTATGTGGTATGAATATGGCTTTCAGTTGATATAATATTTTTCTAGATGAAGCGCCAATTCCTTGTGACCTGTAAGCATGCAATACCTGAACTTCGTTCAGCTCGTTCATTTTGGATTGTAGCAATGAAAATGAAGGGAGTGGTGATATTTGACTGGTGCTCCATTTTTCTTTTCCATTTCTTTTCACTCTTTTTCGTACTTCTCCCTGCTTTAATTTTTTTCTCTCCTGCTCCTCTTCCTTTCTCTATTTTTTCTCATTCCTCATTTCACCTCTTTTTCACTCTTTCTTCCCTCTGCTACTAATACTGGTGTGACAGTGTTAGTGAGATTTCAGGTATAGATTTGCCATTATAGGAAGACCATACGATTTGATGAGTATTGAATGTCTGTCTTGTGTTTCGGTTTTCCTGACTCAGCTTTCTGTTCTGCTGCTAATTACTGTGCTAGAGTAAAAACAAACAAAAAGTAAAGGAACATTTGGGGCAATCATTTGAGCAAAAATATTTAAGAAACATGAATTTCAGAAAAGAGGTATCCTGGTAAAGAAAGGTTGCCTAGTTATTTTCTTCCTTTTTCCTCCTTTTTGATAACTTGCTCTAAAAGATATAAATTAATCTTGAAAGATAGATTAAATACTTGAAGATACTGCTATATTTTTGTGACTTTAAGATTATGTGTCTGGCAAAGCAATAGCCACACATCAAGCTGTTTATCTTTTGCTTTTTGAGATCTGCTGTCTCTCCTCCTCTTCTAAAATCCCATCTTCTTAGAGACCTCATCTGATGCCCTGATGGTATGGAGCATTGATTCCCATCTTCACCAAAATGTCTCTTTGCCTGGCTCCTGTCTGAGCTACAGTAGCAAATGTACAATTTTTTTCCATTTAAATGCATGGATTTTGGTTTATGGTGCTTTGGTGTATGGCTTATATTTGCTTTGATAACCACACAATGGTGTTGCAGATATGTTAATATCAATACACTAACCTTTAAGAAATAATTTTGTAAATGAAAATTTTCAGCTAGTGTTACTAAATTATTAAAAAAGGAGAACCAATTCCCAGGGTAAAACAGTTTGCAGCTACTATTACCAATTACCTGTGGAGACTGGGAAAGTGAGGTACAGGTGAGTGGGAGTAGTGAGGTAAGCATTCTCGTAAAATCTGAATATTTTCAACCTGAAAATTGCTTAGTTAAGATTACAGAAACAATCATAATTTTAATGATGTATCTTTACCCAACTGACTGCGATCCTGGAAAAGCAGGAGAAAACCCATCTGTCAACAGTATGCATCTTCATTGTGTTAATGACATTAAAAGTGAGAGGTTGAGCAAGGTTCTGTGACCTATCGGGGACTTGATTTCATAAAATACTAGCATTTTAATAAAAATAAATATGTTATAGATAAAGTCAAGTACTTTTGCCTCCTCTAAGAACCTGTATTGGCAGCAAAAAGAATATTGCTTTATGCCTGTTGCAGACCTGAACTGCAAATGGCGCAATCGTTCAGAGCAGATCACTACGTACAAGATCTAAATGACCAAATGATTACATTGACATAAAACACCAATAGCAACTATATCCAACAATGTTATCATTTTAAGTTTAGGACTGAAAGTAGGTACCTTCTGCTGGTGTAAAAATCCTTGGTTGAGGAAGGTTGTGAAAAGTCTGTGGGGTTCAGTTTGTAGAGAATGGCTTGACTACCTTACCTGCTGACACTTAAGCAGCAGAGAAGAGAATTTCAAGACTTTCTCTTTTTTTTCTGAATAAACTAGATGTTTCTCAATACTACTCCAATATTAATTCATTGTCTGCGCCATGTGTAAGTTGAAGCTGGTAAAAAGCAGAATGATCACAAACATTTCAGCAGGTCTGTCAATGCCATTATAGTAGTTGCAGGCAGCCTTTGAGCAGGTGGACAGATGTACTGTCTAACATTACTGCTGAACTTCCAGTTTTTACTCAGCACATCTATGAAGGAACAGAATGAAAAGCACTTGAAAAAAATAAATAGAATGTAAAAACTATATGTAAGTGGGGCAGGAAATTCTCATTGCTGAAAGAATATTTTTTTTGTCCAAGGTTTCCATATCTTCACAGAGAATAGGCAGGGTAGAAACTTGTAATAGGACTTTGATAAAAAGGTTGTAAATGACAATGAACTTTACATCAGAATTGCATTTGGACTGGCTTACACTTTGGTATTTAGTTTTTATTACCATCTTTAATGTAGAGAGAACTCTTATGGAAGCAAGTTAAATTATTTCTGGATATCGGTTTTCTCCCAGAAGTAACCTTATTGTATCTAAGGATCGGATGAATAAATTCTTTGAAAAGGAAGAAAACACTGAGGGTTTTTTCTACCAGTAAAGCACTGTGCGATTGCAGAGAGTGCAGAACTGAGTGATCACATACAAATATCCATTTGCGCCACATAAAATGGAAGATTGTCTCTCTATAATTAAGGACCGAGTTTATAAATCCTATACTCATTTCTTCATTTATCTGCTGGAAATCTAGAGAATTCAGATGCTAAGGACAGTGCATTAAAATTCATTTTTTATATGACTGATGGTTTAAGTCTGCTTTTCAATAACCCAGTGATTTGCACTCACTTTGACAGTCAAGATGGGCAGTCAAATTACAGTTAAGTAATTTTAAAGTCAAGGAGTTTTACTGTTGTGTCTCACAGCATTTTAGCAAGCATTTTTTCACCCTGTCATCTGACAATAATAAAAAATAAAGAATGTATAAAAAACACAATTTGGAGTGCAAAAACATATCCAGAATAAATCTCACTAAAAAAAAATCAGTTAAGGAGCCTAGAATATGGTGGAAAGATGGCTATGGTGCTGTCTTCTTTCCCTCTAAATGTAGATAAAATAGAAAATAATGGGATTGCTAATTCTCACACATGGCAAACAGGAAACTGAAGTATGGAGATGCTGAGTATCAGATTCAAGGCCATGCTCCAGCTAAGAGGGTAGATCCTGCCCTCTCTCCTTTATCCTGGGTTGTGTAGTTTTGCAGGAGGCTTAAAGAAAGTTGTTGATCTGATTGAAAAATAATCATTTGGGCTTGGTTTTATCTGGAAGGTTAGCTTCCAGCTAAGCCACCAGTCTGGTCCAATTCAGCAAGCAGTGTCAGTATGTGGTTATCCTGGCACAAAGTCTGCAGCACAAACATGCAGGGTGGGGAGAGGAGGTGGGGCCAACTCCGTAAGCTGCTTGTGAAAACAAGCACTTTAATATGCAAGGTGTACCTCAGGGGTCTCAGTCAAAAACTGTGCTTAATGCAGTGGCTCCTGCATCGTTCTGGAAACATTTTAGAAGAAAAGGGCATCAGCCACTACATTTTGGAAGGGTACTGATCCAGTAGCATGATAAGACTCTTCTGGGAACACCTCCGGATACATCCTGTTTGTATTGCTCCAGGTCTGTGTATGTACATGGCTGAGCAGCTTGGGATGCTGGTTGGATTTATTAGGATCGAAACAGTATGATTTCTTCCAGCTAAATCTCCCAAGCACATAATCCAATAGTTGTTCTCAGGGCAGGATTAACACATGCTAACAGGATGAGGTTCCAAAGTAACCCATAAATCTCCATAAAAATATGGGCAGATAAAGTAGAACCTGTTGAGCTTGGTACTGATTACCCAAATGCTCTTACACAAGCCTGACCTTCAGTTGGGAAAATAAGGTAGTTTACTTGAGTATCTTGCTGAATCAGAGTTTAACAAGCAATATGAGAGACTTCCATTTTGGAGTTTTTCCACAGATTCATTCCAGTGGAAAAAACAGATCTTTCCAAATAGAGAGAGGGAAGCATGAAGCTGCTTCTTTCAGCCCATAATTTACCCAATATAAGCATGTGCCCATTTAAAAGCATATTTCCTTTGATATACATCACGGTGCAAGCAATTTCTGTTCGTTCTGTAAGTTTAAAAAATCATCATAAAGATTAACAGAAAAGGAAATTGATTGAGAAAATTATGGTTCTACTTAATGTCCTGTGCAAGTAATTTTATTTTTTAGTGGCTTGAATTAAGAAAAAAATAGAAAGTTTATCACAGATTGTGCCATCTAGATAAATTGATTTTGATGTATTCCTGTTGATAACACCTGTGTATTAAGCAGTGCAGTGTGGTGTATTATCCAGAATTACAATTTATAAAATAAATACATCTTGTCTCTGTGCTCAAATTCTAAATATGTAAGTGTTAGGTTTGATATTACTATCACTTCAAAATAACATCATTTTACTGTAATAAATTTTGGGGAATTGTCTAAGAAATTCAGTTACTGAATTATATGAATGTTTTCATATAATATAATGATAATTATAATACTTTTAAAAAAAATCCCTAGGGTACAATTCCATACATTCTTGGCTTAAAATTCTACACTGCTGCAGAGAGTTGGGATCTATTTTTCTCTCCTTGGATGCTGAAGGAGGCTGGGATAACTTACTAGTGTGGGATTTTTTATGCAGTTGCGGTTTGTTCACCATATTCTTACTTGACAAAGCATCAACAAGAATACAAAGAGTGTTTGTGCTTTTTACTCTGGGAAGCATACCTTCTGCTAAATGATATCTTTCAGCAGCTAAGTAAAGGCTTTGGTTAGCTCATTACATGTTTTTAAATGTGACAATTGTTAAGCTGTAACAAAACACAGAGCTCTAAAGAATTGTGCTATTTTATCAGATCTTGGCACCACAGTGTTTTCCATTTCTGTTTTTTTGTTTTTCCCAATTCTAACAGCTACTGTGTAGCTGGGAACCACTTTGTTAATGATTTACTTTTGGGTTGGAGGAGGGGGCTGCTAATCTGAATTGTGACTACCACTTAAAAGTCTTAGATCTATCATTAGACAAGAACACATGGAGTTACAACCATCACTTATCTGCCAGAAGCCGGCATAAAAGTGATATATGTTTTAGGGTGAATACTCTGTATGTATTGACATTCATACTAACATTATCGTGAATATCCATGGATGTCTACTGGATATTAGGTGACATGTCCTAGATTCATCCCACTGTACTGTATTTTGCAACACATCACCCCCACATATCGTGTATATCTATGCTATCAAGGAGGGAAGATACAAAGCTTCCCAGCTGGATGGAGAGAATTTGGTTTTAGTCTTAGCAGTTCTCGAAATAACTGAAGAAATGTCATTAATGAGTTTTAGAAAATAATGAGAAGTTTCAAGAAAGATAACTTTAAAATATTTTCTGTAGTTTTCTGTGCAATGCATTTAATCTAGATAACTCCTACTGGCTTACTGTGGTTGGTATTTTATAATGTGTATGTGATTTGACAGTGAAGTTAGTAGGACAATTTGGGTAGTAAAAATAATCTAAAGAGCGTGACTCAGAACCCTGGCCTATATTAAATTAATCTTCACAGCTTTTTCATTAGTCTCTCATCATGTTATTCATTATATGTCATTTGCAGGAGCTTCTTCAGGTGCCATTGACCTGTTACCATCTCCCAGTGCAACAACTAACTGGACAGCTGGGCTTGTCATGGATAACAATGACATGATTTTTAAATTTGATGGAAAGCAAGGAGCCAAAATCCCAGATGGAATAGTCCCAAAGAATTTAACTGATCATTTCACCATCACTCTGTGGATGAAACATGGACCTAGTCCAGGATTAAGAGCTGAGAAGGAGACTATTCTCTGCAACTCTGACAAGACAGGTGAGTCTGTGTATTGAAAAAACGTTAGGCAAAGGGCATAACAAAGTTAGTAGAGTGTTACCATCTCTTCTCATTTAATTTGGTTGGAAAAAAAAGTTACTAAGCACAGATGGTGCCACTCTAAGCATTGCTGACTTGATAGCTTATTGAGGGGACTGATGTCTACCTTAGTTTCAACACTGGTTCTCTTCTTGGATAATCTCTGTGAACATGTCTGTAGATTTTTCAGGAATTGGTTGATAAAATAATTAAATTAGGTTTACTTTTTTTTATTATTTAGATTGGGAAAAACATTTCTAATTCTTCACTGAAACTAGTTAGATTAAGTATTGATTTGGATTTTATTTATTAGTTTGGACATAACACTTCCATAAACAAAACTAATGCAGCATAATTCAGGAAGATGGTTACCATATGTGGCTTCCCAGAGAAACATAATCATCTATGATATTGAGAAAGGTCAATTATTTTGGATTTTTTTATCTGGTTTTTTTTTGTCTTTTAGCTGTATATTGCTTTCAGACACAATCATCTAAAAAAAAAAAAAAGGGTTGCTGATAGTTCAGATCACTGATCTTGTTGGTCCCTCCTTTCAGAGATGAACCGACATCACTATGCCCTGTACGTGCACAACTGCCGATTAGTATTTCTGTTGCGCAAAGACTTTGATCAGGCTGACACCTTTCGTCCTGCGGAGTTCCACTGGAAACTGGATCAGGTACCTGTGGTTTTCTCTTACCTGTAACCCATCCTTCTCTTCATCCCCTTTAGAAATCATAGAGAAGGACTCAAATCCTAGGGTAACTGCTTTGGGAAATTGGAAATCTACTGCAATTATGTTGCAACTTGTAACTGTTATGACTCTAATTGGGATCCACATAAAAAAAAGATGAATGAGTTAACTTGATTGAGCCATTTTATACAGTAGGTTTTTTAATTGAGTCATTTTAAACAGTAAGTAGAGGTTTATATCCTTCAGCAATGGATAGAGACATGACATTGCATATAGTTCCCTAAAAGTTTTCCATTTATCATTAAAAAAAATATATACTTTATCGGCACAATGGAAGTGATGGAAACCTTTTTAATAAAGAGTATGCCGACACACAGAAAGGCATTTGTAATATACTGTAAATCTAATCTGCAGAATTTTATTTTCATCTGCTGTGCCGTATGTAATTTCTCCTTATTATGAAGAGTATATAGCAAAGGAATTATTATTAAAGAGATAAGAGTTGCCTTTCATAGATTTATTAATTCTAAATAGGATAAGGATCATTTGGATGAAAGAAGAAGGACTTCAGCAAAATAGTATTTTCTCAAAGCAAGTTTCTTCATGTCTTTGAGTCAAAATTATGATATTGAAGGTGTAGATATAGGAATGGTTACTTTCCTAATTCACCTTCAATATGCATATAAAAAGATTATCTTTGTTGTGATTATCAGATGAATGTGTTAAGAAATCATTAACCAGTTTGGAAGCAGTTTCTGCTGTACTTGATATGAGATCTTACAGTGTTTAGAGAGGGGAAAATTTACATTAAATCATATTGAAGATTACAAGTCATAAGTAACTGATGTCACCTCAGATAATGCTGTTCTGAGTGCTGAAAATGGATTTGTATTTCTAAACTGTATACTAAGCATCTAAATTAATGACAATATAAAGTTTATGTAAAGTATTTTGACTTTGAAATTTGAAAGCATTCAACTTCAATATCCTTACAATGAGAAAGGACCAATGTCCTCTCAGTAAATGAAATTTTTGTGTAACTCCTATAACTTAGCCATGACAAAATACTGAAAAATATACTGTCAAAGATAATTTTCCATTCACGGGGGATGTATTTGATTGTGTGAAAGAACTTTTTCATCTCTACTGCCATCTACAATTACTTTTTTCTTACTCTACTTTCTCCACATCATTTCTATACTTTAAAAAAAACAACAGGAAAATGGCATAAAATGGAAAGTACAGAAATGCTAACATCTTTCTGATTATTTTTTTCTTTCTTATATCACAAAAAATCCAGTGTATCCTGAACTATTGTTTTTTCTTATCAAGCAAATTTTGTGTATGATTAGCATCCATGTTATTGATGAGCAACATATATTCTTTACACTTCTATTCTGACACTATCATTTCCTTGCAGAAAGTGCTGCTCATCTCAGAAATCTACTTCTGGATGGTCTATTGATTTGGGAAATGTGTATGAATTTGAGGGTTCTTTGTTTCAAAGCAACATGCTAAGACTGTGTGTATCTAACTAGTTAAGTGCAAGTGCCATTTTTTCTCTAACAAGGAATAAAGAATACCTTGGGCAAGTCTACAGATTTTGTCTGAAATTAATAAACCTAGAATTGCACCAGCAGACAACATCTCACATCTTCAGCTAGACATTTAAGTAGAATCCTAAATATCTGGTGACAGGAACTCATTGTTTGTGATGTAAATCCTAAAGGAACCCAAGGATTTCAACTTAGGGATAACTGAATAAGTCCTTGGAGATATTTTGAGATTTAATCGAGTGTACTCTGAGTTATGTTTCTGGAGAGAAGTTATTTTGTTGAAGCTATCTCAGCAAGAGCATATACTAAAGGCAGTCCAAAGGACTGCTTGACATATTAATTTTTTTATTTCTACTGTTTGGTTCTAAACTGTATTATTTCACTATCTGCCAATAATTATTTGTGTAACCTAAAATATGCTCCCAAATTGTAGCACTACAGAAAAGTTGAGCTGCAGTTGGGCACTGAAGGGAGAACCTTCCTAACTAGTATGGAAAACTCCTATATGATGGAAACTAGAGATAGAAAAGATCTTTTAGCTCACATCATTAATTTCCTTTCATTCAGCTACTGTCAATTCATTTCCACAGTATATTTTCAACTGCTCTTTCTAGCTGAAAAAGAATGTAAGATTAAAGTATAAATAAAGTTTGTTATGGGTTGTGTGACTAGACTTCCATGATGATTAATTTATATTGTCATGGTGATACTGTTGTAAGTTTTGTCATGAAGGGACCTGGTAAAGATTGCTTCTTTACCTCTTCTTCAAAGCTCCATCTGGCCCATATGGTGGAGTAAATTAAAAGAAACTGAAAATAAAACACACGTGAATAATGGGCTGGTAAGGAACTTGCATGGTATTGAAGACAAAGCAGTTGGAAATTTTCACTTCAAAGTAGCAAAATTATGCCAGCTTCTAAATAACTACCTGGAGTGGTCTACCTTAGAAAGCACAGGATATTTTAAAACCACATCAAAAAGCAAGTTAGCGTCCCACTACAAACTCCTCTGGATCTCAATATGAAAAGAAGTTAGGGCTAGATTTTCACAAGTAGATTAAGTGCTGTAGACACTTCTGAAAATCCTGCTAGTTGAATATTTGCATATTTAGATACTGAAATACCTCTGGAAATCTCACCTTTGGAACTGTTCATTCTTTAGTGGCATACCCTCAGATTCCTTTTTTTTTTTTTAAGAAAAGTATGGGAATTAAGCTGTACCTAACTGTTGTACAGTTTCTCACCACCTGCACTGCACTGTGATATGGGATGCTGTAGACGCCATTGCATGTATGACTGGAAGAACTTCAAGGGTTGGTACCAAGCACAGCCATAGTAGAGTAAAATGTGGCAGAGTACTTTATTGATTAGCTCACTTTATGATTGTGACAACAATCTGTAGCTTGTTTTTTTCTGAGAGGAATCTTGTGACCTTGGAATAGAGTGAAGCACAAACTAGTGAAGTCATTTATCATTCTTACCGCAGAGTAGTAAAATTTGTTATACCAGCTGCTTTGGGCTCTACCTAGTCCTCAAGAATACTCATTCTTTCAAGGCACTGACCAAGAATATGAGTTTATTGTAATTCCAAATTTAATTTAATTTTCTAGATCTTGTTTCTGTGGCAGGTGGGCGTGGCACACATCTTAGTTGCAGACTCCATTCCTGGCTGAATACAAGGAGTCACATAACATTTTATATAGCTGCACCTGAGCAGCGCATCTGAAACCTTGTGATACATGCAGCCATCATAAGTGTCACGAATAGCAAGCGTCTGAAACCTCCACACAGTAGTGGCTGCCAAGTTAGCTCTGGGAAGACTGTGTCTTTAAGTTAGGTCTTAGACCTAAGGATTTATTCTCAGTATGGCTTTCAGTATATTTAGCCCTATTTGCTACTTTACACTTAATGGACTTTGCTAAGCTAATTTTTTACTTATTGTGCTAAGGATGCATGACCTGAGAGTGTCATAATCCTGGGCATATGTGCCTATAGTATTGAACTGCTAACACATGAGATGATTATGTCTGCAAAACGTGCTAATAATCAGAGGTAACAGACTTTAGAATGAAGGTATCCTTGTTACTTACAAAACACACAGGGAAAAAAGAAATTGATATAGTTTGGTTTTTCCCCCCACTTTCATCCTTTTGGAAATTAACTATCTTAGTTGTGAGATAATCCATTAGTAGTAATCTGGAAGAAAAGGTATGGAAGGAACCATGTTAAAGAAAATCAGTATCAAGTCTATAATGCATGCTGGGTAATAAAAACTGCATGGTTTTCCCAAACAACTGCAACAGATGCCCAATTAGAGGTGTCTCCTTCCTTTTACTTATTCCCATTTCCTTGGAAGTGCAGGTGTTTCCTTTGTTTCAGAATCCTGACCTTTTTTTCACCTTTTTTCTGAGTTTCCCATGCAAAGGTTTAAATTGTGTATCATGATGTGCTTGTCAACTTTTTTATCATTTCTTTTCTCATACTTAACTATAAGACACTCTTAAACCTGAGAACCTATTATGAAAAGTTTTGTCACCAAAGTCAGTAAAAGGCACCTAAATCATCATCTAATTGTCTCAAATGGGTAGGAACATAGATGTGATTTTAAGTGAATTATTTAGGCAGCTAAATATAAATTTGGACCATATAAGAATAACATATGAAATATAAAAACTTTTTCTTCATTTTTCTTGGAAAGCTGTGATAAGTTATTTTAGGGTTCCCTACTATTGGGATGCTCATATGCATATACGCTTATCTTGTGGACATGTGACTGGTTTTAAGAAAATGATCAGATTGTACAGCCTCTTGTTGCACACGGGAAATAACGGCATGTGAGATGGGTCTGGTAAGGGCCTGAGCTTTCTATCTCCATACAGCACAAAAGTACCCTTGGAGACTTGGGAGTTGGTGAACATCTTAACTTACATCTCTGATCATGTTTCCCTTCAGCCACTGGTGCTATGTCCAGCCTTGTAAAATTCCTTGATGCAGGTATGCCAGGACTGCAAAAGAGATCAGTTTATAATGAGACTATGTACATTAGAAATGGAGGTCTGTTGAAATCAGTGGGAAAATGTTCATTGATTTTAACAAGGGCAGAATTTCACCCTAGAGATGTTAAAAAAAAAAAAAAAAAATCAAGTCTTCTCATTTCTTTTTCTTTCGATGCAAAGATATTTCCAAAAGCACTTCAGGGACCTCTGTTAGCAACTCTGTTGTAAAAGTCCGAACTAGTGCCCCTTCCTCTCATTGTCATCCACAGGAAAAACCTCTTTTGATCCTCGAATTTCTGCCATAAGAAGTGACAATTCTTGTGTGTTCCCCATTTCTGGTTATTTAGTGAGAACTCTCTCCCTCAATTTCTGTCCATTTTAACTGCTGTTTTCTATAACCTGCACAGAACCAAATAAAAATAATAGTTTGAGTA